AGACAGAGTCTTGCTCTGTTGCACAGGCTAGAGTGCAGTGGCATAATCATGGCTCACTGCAGACTCTTCCTCCCAGGCTCAAGCAATCCTCCTGCCTCTGCCTCCAGAGTAGCTGGGACTATAAGTGCACACCACCATGTCCAGCTGATTTTTTTTTTTTAGACTGAGTTTTGCTGTCACCCAGGCTGGAGTGCAGTGGTGTGATCCTGGCTCACGGCAACCTGTGTCTCCCGGGTTCAAGCAATTCTCGTGCCTCCGGCTCCCAAGTAGCTGAGATTACAGATGTGCACCACCATGTCTCCCTAATTTTTGTATTTTTAGTAGAGGCAGGATTTTATGTTGGCCAGACTGGTCTTGAACCACGGACCTCAGGTGATCCACCTGCCTCAGCCTCCCAAAGTGCTGAGATTACAGGCATGAGCCACTGCACCGGGCCTAATTTTTTTTCACTTAAAATTTTTTTTGTAGAGACAGGGTCTTGCTATGTTGCCCAGGCTGGTCTCAAACTCCTGAGCTCAGAGGGTCCTCCTGCCTCAGTCTCCTTAAGCACAGAGATTACAGGTGTGAGCCACCTCGTCGGCCTAATATTTATTAAATCCTTACTGAGTGGCTGGCTGTGTACTAAAGGGCTCCCGGAAAGAGCTCTGCAAAAGTAGGCCCCTCACTTAGGAGCCTTTTTAACCCGAGGGATCTCCTTCCTAATGGTGAGGCCCCTTCCTAATGGTTAGTGAATTTTCTCAACACTCCTATCAGGTAGCTAACATGATTATCTCGATTTTACAGATGGGTAAACTGAGGCATAGAGCAGCAGTTTGGTGGGTCTGGGATGAGAGTCCAGGTCTGGCCGGCTCTGGCGCCCGGGCTTGCGCAGCCTCCCCTCTCGCGCGGCGGTCACGCCACTGTGTGCCAAGGCTGCGCTGGGCCGCTTCCAGCCCTGGGCCGCCTGGGGGAGGGGTGACCTCCCGCCGCCGCGCCCGCCCCGCGCGCCCTCCCCTAGCTGGGCCCCTGCCAGCCCCACCCCCTCCGGCCGCCGAGCCGTTCCGCCCCCCGCAGCAGCCCAGGGACAGCGGGCGGTGGGGGGAGGCTGGCGGCAGGGGAACCCTAGCTCGGGGACTTAGGGAGGAAGGAAGGACAAAGCCGGACACCCCGGCGCGCACACACACCTGCTGTCCAGGTGAGATCCAGTCTCCAACCAGCGCCTTTGCACCCCCACCCCCCACTGCAGCCGGGGCGCCCGGGCGGCTGGAAGGGGCGGGGCCGGCTGGAGGGGCGGGGCCAGTAGGAGGGGCGGGGCGGGGCGGGGCGGGGCGGAGCCACCCCTGAGGGCCGGGCGCCCAGGCGGCGGCGCGCGAGGACGCACGGGCGGCGGGACGCAGGGACGGCGGCGGCCGGAGCGCGCCAGGCGAGTGGCACCCGGGGCTGGGTCGGGGTTCAAGTCCGGGTCGGGGATCGAGTGTGCACCCCCTCCACCTACTGTCCTACCCCCCACCTCTGACCCTGAAACACGACCTCGCTGATCTCAACGAGCCGCTGCCTCCAACTCCACCTTCTGTGTACAAACTTTCCGGACTTGGAGTGGCTCTGTCCCCGCGTCCCTGCCCCTCCCCATCTTTGACCCCTTTCCCCCATCGATTCTTGGTGCCCTGCCCGTTTCCCCAGTCGTGGCTCCCTCTCCTCGCTCTCCGCTGACTCTGTCCCCCTTTCTGCCTCTGTCCCCTCCCCGCACTGTCCCCCCTCGCTCTCCTCCACGGTCGTGCCCCAGGCGGCGAGAAGACCGCCGGGCGTCCGGCCGGGCTGGGCCTGCGCTTGGCGGCTGGGCCGGCGTGGGGAGCTGCAGCTGTTTGCCATTAGCCGGGGATCCCACAGGCCCCACCCCCTCCCTGCACGGGGCGGGGTCCTTCTCACTCCCTCAAGTTTGGGGCGAGAAGAGGGCCGGGAAGACCCCTGAGATGTGCAGGCTGGTCTGGGGTGGTGGGTTGGGGAGACCCGCGCCCCTTCCCTGAGCTCCCTACCTGTCCCCCCTGGTAGGCTCCAGTCTTTCCATCTCTGTTTTTTCCCCGTCTCCTGCTCCCCAGGGGTCCCATAGCGAGAGAAGGGTCTCAGTCACAGACATCCATCTTCCCCATCACACCCTCTCATCTCCTTTCTCTTCTTACCCGCGACTCGCTGGTCCTCATCGAGGGCGGTCAGATGACTGAGGACCCTCAGACCTCAGTCTCCATATCTGGGAAATGGGTAGAGATATTTGGTGTGGAGTCTGGGGGTGGTGGCTTGGTGGGCAGTGGGGGGACCCACCAGGCTTAGGTTCACCTTCAGGCCCAGCCACTTCCCCATGGCCCCAGTGACCCGAGGCAAGTCACTGTACCTTTCTGTGCCCTCTGCATCGCCTTGTCTGTGAAACGGGATAACTGCCCATCTCACGGAATTGCCATGACAAAAGAGTTGATGTAAGGCCGGGCACGGTGGCTCACGCCTGTAATCCCAGCACTTTGGGAGGCCAGGGCATGTGGATCATGGTGACAAGAGATCCAGACTATCCTGGCCAACATGGTGAAACCCCGCCTCTATTAAAAATACAAAAATTAACTGGGCGTAGTGGGGCATGCCGGTAGTCCCAGTTATTTGGGAGGCTGAGGCTGGAGAATCCAGGAGGCGGAGGTTGCAGTGAGCTGAGATCCCGCCACTGCATTCCAGCCTGGGACAGAGGGAGACTCCACCTCAAAAAAAAAAAAAAAAGAGTTGATGTTATTATTACTGTTACTAATACTATTTGCCCAGGAGCACCCTCACTTCCCCCAGCTATTCTAATCCCGCTCTCTCCCTGCTTCTCCATCCCTTTTTGGTGGCCAGAAAATATTTTCGATCAACTTCCTGTTGCTCTGGGGTGAGCCTCCAGGCAAATGGAAAAACTAATTTCCTGCAATTGGTGACCTGTGTTCCAGGTGCTGAAAGACAGAGAAGCGAAGACAGAGGTGAGGAAAGACAGGGAGAGAGACACCGGGGGCGGGGGGCGGAGAGAGAGAGAGAGAGAGAGAGAGAGAGGTGGAAGGACAGAGACGTGGAGACAAACAGAGAGACTTCGAAAGAGAAAAGGCAAGAAGACGGGACAGGAGAACAAGGACCAGCTCAGCTGCTCCTGGAGCCCCAGCCCTGCCTTCATGCCCAGCAGGTGCCCTACCTGGCCCATCCTCCCAAGGTACCTGCTGCCCTGGCACCCAGAAAGGATCCACTCTGGTGGTGGGATGGGCTGGGACCTCTGCAGCATGATGGCTGGAGGTCAGATAACAGAAAGGACCAGCCAAGTTCAGGCTGGTTATATTGGGGACAAAAGAGCCCTGGCCAGCCTCCAGGGCTGAGGGGGGTTTAGTGAGAGGCTCTGATTGTCCCTCCCTTTTGCAGCCTACAGGCATCCCCTCTTACTTCCTCCCCTCCACCCCCATGACTTCCCGGGGCCACTGCCAGGCCCTCTATCCCTACTGCGCCCCAAGCCCAGACGCATCCTAGGCGGGCAGGAAGTTCTGTGTAGCCCGGCAGTGAAACTGTTTATTTTTAGAGAAAATTGTTTCCATAAAGGGGAAAGGCTTCACTCCTAGCTGCCTCCCCAACTTTCCCTCCCCTGCCCCCGCTGCCCCAGTCCAGGCCTGATCGAGCTCTCAGCTTTGGGATCACTGGGTATCCCCTGTGCCATGCTTGGCCTCTCATTGTCCCCCTGTGTCTCTGTCTCCTCAGATCCTTGCCAAAAGAGGAGGTTCCCCTCTTCCCCCACCCATTAGCGCCTCAACCCCCATCTTTCCCTGTGGCCAGCTCTGGGCCTGGGCTAAGGGGAGGGGGTGCAGGAAGGGTGGGGCCTATTAGGCTTGGGGCCCCCCAGCCCGAGGGCCATGTGGAGGCTAGGCTGTGGGAACAGCTGGAGCCTGTCCAGAGGCTGGACAGATGTGCAGGCAGGCAGTGAAGTTTGATTTCTTTGTTCCAGACCTGCAGTGGGGGGAGGGGGCGGGGAGCCCACCCCTCCTTCCGCAGCCAGGCTGGGTTTGCGCCTATGAGTGGGTCCCAGACCTGGGTGGAGGGCCAGGTGGGCCAGCTGTGGAGGGGGCTGGCCTCATTTCCTCCCCTCCCCCTACAGACTCCTAACTCCCGTTGCCATGGTTCCCTTTCCCCAGGTAAGCCTCAGCCAGTGCTGCAGGCA